AAGTTTCCTAGACATATTTCTAGTCAGCAAAAATTTTTATTGGAAGATTTGACCGGGATAAAAGGCACCGAGGTTGTGCTTTCAACTGCAAACCTTGGATATTTATTACAGAGGAAATCTGCTCAATAGCTACTATAAACACGTACGGAAAATTTCAAACAATTTTTAAAATTCTTGAAGAAACTGCATGTTTTCACAACAGTCCTATTCTTACTTTTGGCTGAGCAGTATAAATAGGAGGGCTCCAAATGAACGCGAACAATTGATAAACCTATCCTTTTGAGAATCTTAACCATGTGGAGCCTAAAGACGGTTAAGATGCGCAAACAGGATCTCATGTTGTTCCCAAGTTTGACAGGAAATAGCATTCTTTTTGAAAGACTAAAATACTGATCATAGTTGGTTGATTTCTTTGTTTTCATTTTCCCCGTTTCGTTTCTTCTTAAAGGTGAACCCTGCCTTAAGCTTTGTCCTATTTTATTCTGTAGCAGCATGGAGAACTTTTTTAATTAGAAGGCGAACATCACCTTTTCACCTTAAAAGCAAATTACATGTCTACACTCAGTACCAGATGTCCCAGTATGGACATTTGTTTACACTGCCACGAGCAGCACAGAAACCTATCTGATATGTGATGATATAATTTCAAATCGGCGCGGCGGAGCTTTTCTCTGTTACAGAAACCGCTCTGAAATCACCCCTCTTATGTGTTAACAATACCATGCGATATGGTTTTCGCTCGAGCGCAAGACCTATACGCGGTAAAATGTGGACTTAGCATAAATTAGCAACCTAAAAATTGAGTGCCCAGAGACGTTTAAGACTGGCAGGAAATCGTATCAGTCAGAACACCTGTTTTGGCTGGTTGTTTTGTGTGCCTGTTATTTTTCCTTCGGTTTCTCCGTGAAGGTGAGAATCAAAATGGCTAGTATATAAATATAGCCAACCCTAAAAGTGGTGCTTCAGTTGATACGGACGTTACTAAGCTATAAATTACGTAAAAGCAGCGAAAAGTTAAGATTCAAAGAAAAACATGTTCCGATAGTTGCATAAAATGAGAAACGATGGAATAGCTTAATGCTTGTTGTCGTTTATGAGTTAAATGCCTTTGTCCGGCAGATCACGTATTTTTTCATTCATGCCAGGTAATGGGTTTAATGGGGAACACGGAATGTTTACTTTTCAACATTTGTAAAATGTCTCAAAGCGAACTGAATACTCGCCTATAATACAAGCAGAGACACTGAAAGTCCACGAAGCAAAAACCGGTCGAGAGTACCGACTGTGATCATTCAAAAAAGAAATTGTCTTGTTTTGGGATGAAAACTATAGGCTTAAGATAAAAGAATTTAGAAAAAAAACTTCCCGAAAATAAAGAGGGAAACGACGTTAATAAAAATGCGAAGATCTTCCAAAGTACTGAGCGCGAAACAAATCAGGAATCATTCGCTGACACAAGAATGAGAAACGTCCGAGGCCGTTCGCGGTCACGGCCTTCGCTTCTCTCGGACGTCTAAGAATCCAGTCTACACAGACTCCAGTCAATTTCTGAAAAACAGTATATGTGGGAAAATGAATCAAATACAACCCTGTTGCTGGTTTCAAGTACATTTTTGAACACAACTTGCAATACTATGAAGGGAAATAATCAATCGGCGACAAAATTGTTGTACTAAATAGGATAACTACAGAGAACAAACGAATCCATGCACACCACTCCCCTCTCCCCTTCATTCAAAGTTTTTGTTGTTGTTGTTTTCTGTAGGTAGCTCGAACAGCGGCAAAACATTGCATGGAGGGGATGAGGGAGGAAAAGCTTTATTTTCCCCTCTGGAAGTCAGTGAACCTTCAGAAAGCCCTTTAGGGTGAAGTGTCTCAACTAATTTTGTCGCTGATTGATGCTCTCCCCTAAATGTGACAAAATATTCGCAAAACCTTGAAATCAGGAATATAATGATGGTATGACCATGAGAAAAAATGAAATTTTAGGCCCCGTCCACACGTGCACGTATCCGGATCTTTTGAAAACGGAGATTTTTAATTTTCCTCCGTATTCGAGATAATACGCATCCACAGGTAGCATATTCGAATCTTTTTCGCCCGTCAACATGACAACGCTAAAACGATGGAATCACGGAGCATGTGAAAGGCCCGGTTCAAACGTCGAATTTCGCATGTGCCGGACTTAACGCGAGAGTTAACTGCATATGAACTGCGACGTTTGAATCAATTAAATTCGACTGTTTAAACTAAATGCGGCGTTTGCCGTGTCTGCGACTGAAACTGTCGAAGATTCGATTTAGGTTTGACTTTTGATTCAAACGTCGCATTTCACATGAGCCGAACTTAAAGCATGAATTTTAGTAAATTTATATTACATTACTGGGAATATTGACAGCGAACAGAGTTGAACTCGACAGAGTTCAGAGAGTTAAATTCGACGTTTGAATCAAATGCCGTATTTAACTATTTTGGTCGACTAAAATAGGAATAAGTTCCGCACATGTGAAATTCGACGTTTGACTAGGCCTAATGCTAGTCGTATATGATGTATGACATTATCGTATTCGAAAATCTCCGTTTTCGTTCGTCCTCACGTAGACGACAAGCCAGCGTTTCCAAATGTAAATAAGAGACAAAAGCGGACTTAATATGAAGCCTCGTGGTGCCCCACAGAAAACCCGGTTCTTAATTCCAGGGTTTTGCGGTCCGCATCTAAGCAGCTGTTAGACCAACCTCGATCAATCACGAAAACGTACGGGGACAGGGCTATTCACTACCATTATAAGTCACTATCTTTAACTGGTTTTAAGAAAGAATTGAAAACATATCTTTTTAGGCAACTTTTAGAGAGTGGGTCATTGTTTTTGTAAACTTTATGATTTTAAGACCTGTAATATAATGATTGTAAATAGATTTCATGCCTGTGATATGTAAATTATTTCATTTTCCCCTTTTTTACATTGTAAAGCGCCGTGAGCACAGGATATGAGCGCTATATAAATAAACTTATTATTATTATAATTATAGATGAAACTTCATTTACCCTACAAATCTTTTGCCAGTCTTTCAGGTAAGATATAAATCAAGTTAAATTGGGACAAGAAGCTATCCTCCCCGGAGACGTCCTCTGGAGTTCGTGGGGGAGAAATATTAAATGGGTGACGAACGAATCCCAAAGGACGTCTGCGGGGAGGCTAGACAGAAAGCCTGATGCGACTTGGTGCTGCAGATTTAGTGTAGGCTTCCTTGAGTTGCACTGATGTATAATCCTTAAAAGTTCTTATCCAGAGTAACACTAAGAATTTCAATGGTTCTTGAGTCTCTACTTTAACACCGTTTACAACAATGTTGTTGTTGTACAAGCATGGCCCCAAGGTCAGCGCCTGCCTGGGTCTTGTCATTATTAACAACAAGGAGACGATTCTGATCAAACCAGAATGACAATAAGCTAAGCTCAGAGTTTACAACAAACTGCAGTACAGCAGGGGAGGTATCAGAGTAATATCCTGTTGTATCATCTGCGTAGAGTCTTAATAAAGACATATGAGGAACGAAAATTTTAAAATCGTTAATTAAAATGTTAAACAGAAGAGGCCCCAGAAAGGAACCCTGAGCTACACCTACTTTATTGTCTGTATAACTAGAACATGTCCCTTCAACTTTAATCTCTGTTTACGACCGTCAGGTAGGAGGAAATCAACTGCAAGGCTCATGAGGAGAAAACATGCATTAAGTTAAGCCAGCAGTAGAATTTGATAGATTGAGTCAAATGCTGTGCTAAGACCTATAGCAACTGCAGCAGCCGCTTCCCTGTTGTCTAGAAATCTTCTCCAGTCCTCAGATATTTTCATGAGAGCAGAACAGCAAAAATGGTGCTTTAAAAATGCTGAAGTATTCAACGAAAGATGACTTCGAATGCCATAGTGTACTTTATCATTTATACATGATGCTCTCGGACACTTTGAACAAAGCAGTGAAAATTAATATGGGACGATAGTTAGCTTTGTCTGTATCAGCATCTTTCTTAAAACAGGGGTCACGATACTGCATTCAGTCCACTCTAGTGGCCAGGATTGACTGTTAATGAAAAAGTTGATTAATCTGAGCGATAATCTCGTTCACTATGTGTATACGTAGTATTATTGTCAGTATATTTAGAGCAGTTACGAGACTGTCCAATCTTCCTCATGTGTTTTTTTACGCGAAGCAAAAGTTTATCAAATAAAGGAGAGAAGTCACGTTGTCGATTAAGCTGTTCGTTAAGGATCGCAGATTCTTGAGTTCCTTTGAAAGTCAAAAAAAAACAAATAAGTTATTTAACTTCCTATTTTGATTCCTGTAGTACGGAAAATGTGCCCGTATATCAAAGTTTAGAATAGAAGTAACAGTAAGATTTGCGCTTGTTTTAAAGTTTTTTGTTCGAAGTGAAAGTTAGTATTTCAAAGGAGCATCGCTGTTAGGCCTGGTTAAATCTTATGATAGTTGGTATAAATATGGAGGTAAAAAATAGCAAAGGAAATATTTTGCATGAGTTTTTTCTCGTACGTTTTATCTGTGCTAGGTCTGTAACGCTTTTATGCGCTGCGTCCTAGGAGTTAAATATCACAAAGGGGTGACCTTATCGTAGTTGGAAAATAAAACATCGACAGATACACTACCCAATTTTGTATTTGCACTGGTAAAGAGCATAAAAATATAAAATAAGATTTTTTTCTTCTCTCACTTTTTTTCCATTTTCTTTTTTTTTTTAACGAAAGTAAACAAATTCAATGAAAGGTTTTAAAAAACATCACGATAGAAATGAACCAGTTGAAAGGGTTTCTTATATTGGATCCTAACAAAGTGAAAAGGTCGTTTTTCTCTGAGTATTAAAGTACAGAAGGGCTTGTCATGTTTGATTTTAAAAGGGCACATCTTAAATGCTCTCTGCATTATGGAATGCCAGATTTTTGCCTCCCAATTATTTTCACTTTTAAGTTTCTTTTCATTCTCCAGAGATGAAGTTCAAGAAGTTAACAAGGGTCTTTGTTGGTGTAACCTGCTTCGCAATTTTGGTTCAAACTGTATTTTGTCGTTTATACATTGGAACGAATACACAGTTCTGCTGTGAAAAGACTGTAAACTCAAGTGGCTTCCGCTGCTGGAATAAAACAGTAAAGGAAAATGGAGTACAGGATGCGTGGAAATTCGACAACTGTTCTCAATATGAGAATGAAAAAGCATGCTTTAATGTCACTGAGATGCATTCTTGTCCACAGAATCATAGTTCTACTCTCCCTGTGCAGGAAAAAAGACAAATTCACATTGGAGCGTTTGTTCCATTCCTAAAAGATGACAGATACGGACATTTCACAGCGATGAAAATGGCCATTGATATAATAAACAATCGAACTGATATTCTAGATAATTACACTCTGGTGCTGGACTCTGAAGATACAATTTGGGTAAGTGCATGATACTTTATTGATATGAATCACTTCACTGAGGATGATTTTGATGGGTCATTCTTGTAAGACGGACTTAACAATTACTTCTAACATCTTCTTGTCAGGAAGAACACGAGGAGCGCTCAGACCATTTGTACGGAAAATCCGATAATTCCGGGAGTAGTTATGCTTCAGCAAACTTAACCGGATTTAGGTATAGGTATAGGTATAGGTAAGAACCCTAAGTGAGAACCTTGACGTATTACTATAAAAACACAAAACAATTAATAACTTGACGAAGATCAATTAAAACACACGATTAATAATTGCTAGCAATAAAACCAAACACGTTTCTTAAGACACGAGAAATCAACTCTATGACCCTTTAAGAGGCCTTGTGCCTAAGAAACGACCAATGATTTCCGGCTAAAAAATAAAATCGGCCGATTTTTATCTCCCAAGCAGAGGTTACCGAATACTATTCAAAAATGAATTTCTTTTGTTTCAATTTCGCTTTAAACCAAAAATATCGAGCCGCAACCTTTTTCCGTCTGATAGCAGCAAAATCAGGCCTAAAATAAGCCCTCGCCAAAAATGGTTCAGAAATCACTATCGCAACGCAAAATAACGAGAAAACCACACAGTGATGAAGAAAAAGGCCTTTTAACGCAATATCATTCGATAAACATCGAAAAATTGCCGAAGGGAATAAAAATAAATTTTCAAATACTGCATATTAAATTAGATGGAGCGTTGGAGCTGATTTTAAAATATTTATTTCTCAAAAGTCCAAAGCTGTTGAAAGCAATCAAAGTGATGAATCAGGCATTGGAGGGATATACATTACGATTCTGGAAAAACATTTTTCGGCCAAATTATATTGACGTTGTACAAAGCGTTCAAAGTTGCAGTGTTTACCGTTATCTTGCTACTTCGGCGAAACACTTCTCTGTTGCCAATACGGCCGTGGATAGCGTGGTAAACGCCACTTTAATCCTTGCTAGGCGCTCAGAGACCATCCTAAGTAGAAGGACGTAGAATTAAAAGAGAAAGGAAGACCAAAAATAGGCAGAAAAAGAAAACAACTCGAAATTACCATCTGCTGACGAAACTTGAATGTGGAAAATGTCGTCGCGTGACAGCGGCCAATGACGTCTTTGTTTAAACTGCGGCGGAATCCAAACGAATGCACAACTTTTTCCCAGAAAGCACTTAGTGAAACAATGTAATGTTACTTTTTCAAAAGCGATGGTGACTTAAAAAGAAAAAAATTCCCGAACCGCCGCACCGTTTTGGCCTCATCGTGATCTGATCATTAGGGACCTTAAGATACCCTGGACGAGGCGGTAAAGAGAACGGAGAAAGCCTGGAGCGAGGACGCCGCCACCTTCGCGGGAAAAACAAATTAAGATTGAGCAGGTTGGGTTGAGTGCTCGCCTGACGAGAGAAGATAAAGTAATGCTTTCGTGTTTTAATTCCATGACGTCTTTTAGAAAAACTCGTGAAGTCTTGCTTGATTCACCGTAACGATCTTTTATTGGAAGAAAAATTTGTACTACTGGCTATGACTCCAGTTTCTCTTCGAGGGAAACTTGAGGGTATGATCGGAGTTTATCTTCGAGGGAAACTTGAAGGTATGATCGGAGTTCAGGTTATCAGCTATTTGTTGCCAGACTTTTTCGGTTTCCGTTGTTCTAGATCTTCCTTTAAAACGATATGGTTCTGTTATGAGAACTTCCCGTACTAAGGCGAGATTTTGATCTTCAGACCGCTCCATCGCTGAACTGAAAGTGAACAAAATGAAATTATAAAAGTTAATAAATGAACAATGGCGTCTTGTTCAGGATCTCAATTTTCTCCAACATGTTCAAGTTTACTACAAGCCTAGATTTTTGTTTTCCAACAATTTTTATTCGACTTCTCGTCTCTTAAATTTTTCAAATACTATCCTAAAGCGAGAACGTTGTCCCCTTAAAAAAAAGCAGTTATAGTGTTACATTTGTGTCGAAAGACTAAGCGCTTTCATCCTCAGTTGCCGCCAAAACACTGAACCTAAAAGGCTTGATAGCAAAAAAATAAGAGTCAATCTTGAGAGAACACCACACTAAAAACACTTAAATGTGTCTCTTGAAGTAAAATGGATCGAAAATCCTGTACGAAAAACTATTTCTGCACTGAAAACAAGAAAACCAACTCACCATTTTACGAGGCGGCCATACTTCTAGTTTTCACCGTCGCGACTTCAGGTCGACGCTGTGGCATTATGCTAATTAGTTCCAAGAATCGAACATTTCACTTCCGGTTGACGTCCTCCTCGGCCGCGTCCAGAGTATCTTAAGGTCCCTATTGTGGGGTCACGAGTCGACGCTTCTGGCCAGCGGTCTATTGAAAGAAATCTGATCCCATATTACTTTTTTCGGGCGAGAATCATTCATGTCAATGTCCGATGTCTTCCTTCAAGGAAAAAAAGAGAGAGATATTGGAGTACTGTTGCTCCTGAGAACGAGGAACATCTTGGTCCCGAAAACTGAGTTCATTACGCCCAAGAATTACGTTTTTTTTTCATTTTTTTTTTCTCAAAGGACTATTATCTGGCGCTATAAAATGTAGCTAACAGATTCAATTCTTGGCACAATGATTAGCCTCGCGTTTAGTATTTTCTTGGACATGAAGATATCGGTTGTGACGCTATTCGGTTGAATGGCGGACTGACGGAATAACGGAACGGAAAGATGGAATACACGGAATATTCTAAAATACGGAATATACGGAATACTCTAAAACGCAGAATAGGAGAAAAATCGTTTAAAAAGGGTATACATGTATACAGTCGACTCCAATAACTCGAACCCTCGCTACTGACTCGAACCTCGTGCTAACTCGAAGTAATACTAATTTTTGTTTCTCTTCAGATCGTTTCTGTATAATTTTACCCTCATTAACTCGAACCATGTTTTATGCGCGTGACAAGTAAAAGAATTGACTTACCGTAATGATTCGATTTAGCGCCCAGGCGTTTATTTACTTTTGGTGCCTTTAGGGAGGACGCCTATTCGGGACTGGGCGCTTATTTCTTTTTTGAGAAACAACCAAGCGTTAAAAAAAAGAACTTTGATATTTATTTAAAAACGAACAATATTTGTAGCAGTAACAAATACTGACGGTGAATGCTCAGTTAACGCGAGGGACATACCTTGAAACTTGTTGGGCATTTGCTGATGGAACTTTCCTTCCTTATATTCACCTTTCTTAAAAAAGCTCGCAGTGAGAACAAAGTGCAAGTCGATTAGGGTAATGGATCAAGGAGACTGGAAAACGGACTTGTTGTCCCTGGATCCTTCCTCGCCAGAACGACCAGTCGAGCAATCTCCACAAAATTTGAAGAAGAGATCATTCCTTCGAAGACTTTATGCACTCACATGGATATAAGACCACTGTTTTTATAACGTGGAAATACCGTTCGTTTGTGAGCTATTAAATGGAGATGAACCTCGGTTGATACGTACCCGTACTCTTCTATAATATTAGAATGGGGGCGCTTATTAACAAAACAAATTTGAAGGGGGCGCTTATTGGAAGGAGGGCGCTAAATCGAATCACGGTTTTGGAGGCCGTCTTGACGGGTAAGCAACCACGTGAAAATATACAGCGTTGTGTGTAATTTTTTTTCCTTCCTGCCGAATAAAATTTCCCAGGAAAAATTGCGGACAAATGTCTGGAAAATCTAAAGCAAGCGACCGGACAAATTTAGGCACAGGTGCGTTCCCCATTAATTGGTAGCACAATCCTGTCAAGCTTAAGTTTACAATTCTTTTTTTTAGACCAGCCGTTTTATGAAAATTATCCGACATTAGATTCCCGTGAGACCGGACCCTTCACCCGTCAAGATGGCTTTCAAAACCGTCATAAGGTCTATAGTGTGGCCTACGGCAGTACGAAAATTGAATTTTTAATATTCAAAACAACAGAGTATTCTTTGCCTCTGCTTTTTCGTCAGTCTAGTTCAAATCAAATACAGAATATTCTGTAAATTCCGTGTTTTAGAGTATTACGTATATTCCGTATTTTACAACTGATTCCATGTATTCCGCCATTCCGCCGAATAGGGTCACCCAAATATTGCGGAGGACATCATAAAAAAAGATAGGAGACCGGTAGGACTTTTAAATCGATGAAAGTGCCTCACTCATTTTGCAACTTCATTTTATAATATGCTTCATAATTTGCATCCACAATAATATTTATGATATTTAGATAATAACCAATGCACTACGCACAACTTGTCACATTACATTGGACAGCATACCATGCACTCAAACTCTTGCGCAGGAAAGTTACAGAATGAAATTATTTTTTGCTGCCCTCAGTCACATTCCTTTACACTGAAACCTTGGCTAAAAGGTCTGTTTTTAGATCTGTAGATTTGTAAGCTATTTCGAAATACTCGTACATGTCTTTCAGCACTAACATTGAAAGATGAAAGTTTGTTGCTGTGATAATTATGACAAAGATTGTAAACATCAAATATAATTGGATGTTTTAAGCCCAAATATTCCATCACCTCTTCAACAGCATGGAGGGGGAAATGGGGGCTTACGGTATTGAGCTTTTTTTCAAGCGGTATTTCGGTAATTTGGATTTTAAAGTGGGGTATCGCGGTATCATTTAGCCCTGCGGTATGCGGTATTTCATCCTTTTGGTTAACGGTATTCAGTAAAAGAAGATCCTTCACGGTATTGCGGTACTGTTCATTGTGCTCTCCTGTTTAATGCTAGCCGGCGTAGCAGGCGCTTGGATGACCCCTCGCGTAACTCCCTCACGCGCGCTCGTTCTCTCTCGCGCCCACTACTTCCAAGCGCCTGCTACGAAGGTTAGTTTAATGCACGTCAGTATTTTCAAGACTTTCAATTAATGGTAAATGATTACCATTACACAATTTCTGACAGATAATCTATGATGAAATTGGTAGGGTATCTTTTTCGATCGTTGTACCGATCAATTCGAGGTCGTCTCACGTTTCCTCGCAATGGCTGAGGTTGATTGCTGGTGCATAAATGCTTGGAATAAGCAAACACGCAAGATGGATTCAACTTTAAGTAAGCATGACCGAAAATAAATGCGGTATCGGTATTTCGTCGATTTTTGACACGGTACTTCGGTATTTGCCCATTTTTCTTACGGTATTGCGGTATTGGGTACCTACCAATGTCCCCTCTAGCATGGCGTTGCTCTCCAACTTCGTCACCTTTCTTCAGGTCCGCTGACCCCTACACGCGCTGACCCGTAACGTCCGTTGGAATGTATGTAACGAAATACAAGCAGCCCACATTCAAAGTACTTGGAGACTAGCTGAGGCTGAATTCATCATCATTAATGGCAATAACATAAAACTGTTTCACTTCACGATTTCTGGTGATAGAAAGATTGTTTTTTCTAACTTACATTTCACGTATTTGTTTGGATCCCGCTGCAGTTCGGACAAATGAACGCTGTCACGCGACAACATTTCCAAGATTCAACTTTCCTTAGCAGATGGTAATTTCGAGTCAAACTCAATTTCAATTCTTACATCACCTGTCAGAGGGGGGTTTCTTAGGGATGAGTCGTCATCGCCTGAGGGGACGTTGTTCCAGAAGTAAAGTGTACAATATCTTCCCTGACCTCTATCTGAAGGTTTAATCATGGTGCTACCTCCTTTAATAGTTTTGGCGAGAGTTATGAGCATGCAATGATAGCCTGCATAATCCTTGGCTTCATCTGTTCCATTCAATTCTAGGGTAGAATAAGGTCTTTCTTCATTTCCAATCATTTGCTTCATTCGAGTCACTCCAAACGTTTGGAAACAGATGGGGTAATACCCTAGATCCCCATTAAACGCCTCTGAAAGAATCAACCCCCACAATGGTACGATCTGGGGTCCTGCCGGGGAAAAGATTCGCCTCCTATCATCTGGTGGTGTTTCCTGGGAAGGTAAACGTTCTGCTTTCACTGGTCGTGCCCAAATACTTGATCCACTTGCCTTTCACACAATATTTGGCCAAACTGTTGTAGAGGGTAGGGTTTAGAATAGGTCTGGACAAATAGAGATTCACGCTGATATCATCATTGGTAAGAGTGGTTTGTTTTTTAGCAGCAATATTGGTTCCCCACGGGAAGAAATTAGGACTGTTTAAATAAAATTTCAATCCTTGCTTGACTCCAGGTGCTAACAATTTTCCTGTATAAAACATCGCTAGATGATACCGAACCATCAAGGGTACAACTTTATTGCCGTTAAATTTTTGGTGGCTTCTTTCAGAGCAAAGGAATCTGCATGCTTGTATCCAGTGTTGGTAATTTTATCATCTGTACCACTTGTTCTGGTTAAGGAGGGTATTAATTTGGATTAATTTGTCGCCCATTCAAGGCCATGGTGATGTTTTTAAAGATAGAATGAGACAAATTATTGACTTGGTAGACATATTTCGTTGCTGTGTTATCAGAGGCAGCATCATCTCCATCAGAAAGTCCAGGTGTAGTGGCGGCGGTTTTCAGGCGTAAATTAATTTGCATATAACTTTGAGCGGATTCTATAACTATGGGCCCGACTTCAGAAATCACATGTTCTTTTAATCCACGACCACACATAGCTGGCGTGTGGTACCTCCGTAGACGTCCGCCACGCATCGGTGAGTGCGTATGAAACTTATGTTACGGAACGTTTGGAATCTTGTGATCAAGGCCAACTTTTATACCTGTCTAAACAAGACGGTCAGGAATGTTTTTCCTTGATCCAACTCCACCATAGAACCATCATTTTCTCGTAAATGTGTTTCAGTTGTTTCCAGATAATGTTGCAATCGGCAAGGAACCCACTGAATGTGTTTGGGTTCATAATATAGGGTGCCTTGTTGCTGTCTATTACAATGGGCTTCCGCTAAAAGATCTGCCTCTGAACCTAGTCGGAATACACTAATATAATGGACGAGGGACGAGTCACTGCTTCCTCAAAACAGGGATCCAAATTGCAAAACACCCAATCCACCATCAAGGAAATTTGAGGCCATTGATGTGAACTGACTTGAATCAGATCTTTGTTATTACTATAAAATTCCGTCCTGGTAATAGCATTAAAACGTTTGCTACTATTATCGTAGGGTAAACGAAAGTTTAAATTGGTCGCGTTTGGGTTATATTTATCCCCCACTTTCATTACCCATTTCATGTTCGGGGCCAAATCAATGGCGATATTAAATCGGATAGGACAATTCTTGATATCCTATAGGGCTTTGTTTTCTACCACAAAATCATGCCCTTCCCAGTGAGCCGTGCCTGACGCGCTTTGCATCTTGTCCATAATAGGGAGCGAGTTGTGTTTGAATAGCAGTTTGCAAACTGCTATCGAAATGCTGTCTTAAATTTTTCATCATGAGCATACCATTGCTGACCTCGAATAAACTCTGAGGTATCATAAACCCTTGACATCCTAATTGAATATTGCTCCCAACTTCGTGGATACAAAATTCAAAGACTATAGGTTTTTGACTTGTGCTCAATAGAGCATTATGTCTATGACTAGTCGTGGGCATACTAAGCGAGTAAAGCGCCACTTCCCAACCATGCCCAGCCAGATGTAAGGGGGTCGGTAGGCGTACTTTAAAAGAATAGTTTTAATTGTCAGGATATTCAGGCGTTTTATCACTCACTAGTACGACACACTGCATGTTTGTAAAAATGAGGTGTTGGTTATTGAGGGTCCTTCTATTTAAACGTTTATGAACACGAGATTCGCAATGGTTTTACCCGCATCCAATTGAAGAAATTCACCATTGTTTTTAGCAATTTCAATTTCAGTCGTTTCCACAAAATGCCTCCGACACGCTACCCATTGCAAATGCGTTGGTTCAAAATACATGATACCTTCATGGGTTCTTTCACAATACACTTCTCTCAACAAGTTGGTTTTCTGCTCTCCCATTATTTGAGTTTGTAGTAAACCAGAGTGGACTAAAGAGACGGTAGAGACTTGAGACACGGCTCTTTGAAACAGGCATCTAAATTTCGAAAAACCCATTCCATGGTAAGGGAAAGATAGATATAATTGCCCAACACTTTGTAGACTTGTTGTCCTCCAAATTCTGTCCGTTGAACGCCGTTATATTGATTAGTGGTATCTTCATAAGGTAAACGAAAATAACAGTTTGGTTCCACTGGTCTGTATGTGTTATGTTTTATTTCAAACCACCCCATTTTAACAGCAAAATGTTTTTTCAATACGAAATTCTAACCCACAAGCCTGTATTTGGTTATAGCTTTTACAGTGGAGAATAAATTCATCCCTATTCCATCCGGCAGTAATAGTATCACTTGGAAAAAATAATATTGTCTAGCCCCACTTGAAAGAGCAAAGTGTTGAGTCACTAAATGTTGTTCGCTATCGATACGATGTTTCAAAATTGTCATTAAATGAATGCCACTGGTTGCGATACGGGCTTCTTGATTCGGGATATAACCTTCCCATTGTAATACCTGATCGTCGTCGAGTTGTCGACTACACCATGTGAATTGAAACGGCCATGTCACATCATCGTTGTGCAATCCGGAGGTGTCTCTATCATAAGGGTTTGGGAAAGGGATAGAAGCAAGGCTATTTCCCACGTTCCGTTCTCTAACTGTAGGGGGGCTGGAAAACGTACTTTAAAATGGTTGTTCTTGTTATCGGGAGATTCAGGAGTGGTACTACTTTCTAACACAACACTTAACATTTTGATATTAAAAATGATCTTTTATTCAACTGAGTCACTTTTATTTATACAAGATCTGATTTCGAATCAATGAATCGTAATCCCGACTAAATCCCTTCCAGCGCACTATGAGTTGATTGCCTTTTCGTGCCAAGACTTTTTCAGCCCGGAATAATTGATCGTCTACATTCACTTTCTGTAATTCTTGTTTGTAAAAACTACCTTCAATAGGGGTCCCGTTCCATTCTGTAATCTCTTAGGTATTGACCACCCCAGGAATCACTTGACTAACTAAAAGGACTTCTTCGGTCCATTGTGGCAAATAGGATTTATCAAACACTTTTTGGTTTTTACCCAATCGCACACGATCCCCCACTTGAAAGATAGATTTTTGTCGCTTGGCCTTGATCCGTTTTCGATACAAATTCAACCACACTTGTCGTTCATTCTTAGCATTCACATCTTTGGGCGACATTTTAATACTTCGATGAGTGGTAGAATAATAGCCTTTTAGGAGAGCCGGTAAAACGTCTAAATAAAGCAACGTATTAGCGGCGGTGAGATAGCGGTATAAGCGTTGTTTAAATATACGATTGAACCGTTCCACGACAGCGGCTTTGGTGTCTCCTTTGGTAAAAAATAAATGAATCTGATGTTTTTTCAACAAGGCTCTAAATGTTGCGTTTTTGAACTCATGGCCGTCGTCGCTTTGAATCGTCAAAGGAATTTGTCCACTCTGTTGTAATGCCTTAGCAAAAGCTTTGGTGACTTCTTTCGGAGACTTGTTTCTTAAAGGTACTACCCAAGTAAATTTCGAAAGAACATCTTTGACGCTTAATAAATAACGGGTCTTTTTATTCCATCTGGCTAGCTGACCCACTTCCATTAAATCAAAAACACACTGCTGATTGATAGAGAACACCATCACTGGTTCCGTAGCATAATGAAGGCGGCGAGGCTTATGCAACGTATAACTCGGTAGTGACTGCAATAGTTGTTGCGCTTCTCGGAAGGAGAGTTGGCTTTCGCAAAGGGTCGAACCCCACCCAGACTTCCTGCTTGTTTCGGGTTTTCGTACTTCTGTTGACTTGATTTCAAGGTGTGATACAATGACAGGGATCTGGTCGGGAAAAGAATGTTGTAGAATCAAAAACCATACATAGCCTGCTTGATACCCATAACTCCTCCTCTTACAATCGATATACACGATAAATTGTCCCGTACTTGATACACCCGTGGCTTGAAATAGTTGTATGGAGCAACAACGTACAAGAGGTATCTTTAATCCTTCATCTTGAGCTATCCATGTAAAGATTCCCTAAAGAATATAAGACCTCATATTGATTTAAAATGTGTTTATTACGGATCAAAAACAACCCTCCTGTATCTATAACAAACCGTTTTTTTTTTTATTTTAAGCTCTGATATCGTTTTATTTTATCACTTTCAATGTATTAAAAACGTGCAGGTTCAAACAAGTTACGTCTAGAATAAACTGCTAAGTTTATCACAATTCCCTACTAATTGTATGCATTGCTCTCGGCGCGTTTCTTTTCCAAAATCACCAAAAAAGAGGGTTTGAGCTTCTTTGTCCGTGGCTTGTTCTTCTACTGTTCTGTAAAAAGAACAACGGCTGGAAGTAGGTTGGACTTCTTTTCCCAGTAAGAAGTGGTCAATCAGACGTTTCAGGTGTCTGTAGGCTTCCGCAAACTGACCGCATTCCTGTGCATACTTCATATAATACCCCTTTAAGGCTTGGTAGGCTTCAGGAGTTCTACCGAGACTTTTGTAATGCTCATAAGCGGGACGCATGCATTCTTGAAATCTAAGCCCTTGAAAATGATCTGGACTACAGATTGAATTTATACAATTCTCTACAACCGCGAATCCTTCTTCTCGTAAGGGCACTTTGAATTCCTCAATGGGCGGGAAACAGAATAAACCACTGTCCACAGCAGGTACTGTCTTCGGTTCTTTAGAACTCATGGAGATAGGTTGTAATAATTCTTTGTCTTTCGGATGAAGAGGGCTGTCCACCCATTGGAAAAATCGACTGTTTCCATCTCGTGAGGTGAAGAAACACTCTGTTCTTGTTTTTGGCAGTCCGGCTCATTCTCAGGACGGTTTGGGTGCCAGCCACATCTTTCAACTGGTCCCATTGGCCTTCTACTTCTGGATGAGTGTAATTATTACAGAATTGGAGTATTTCTAATATACTTCCTTTTTCAGCAAAGATGTGACTGAGGGCAATAAAAATACCCTTTTAAATTCTCTGTACGTTTGAACTTCAAGGTATCTTGCACATGAAATGGACAGACAAGGAGTGAATAGGCTTCTGCTGGATCTGCTGGAGTCGGTGGTTCTGTGGGAGAAGGACTGGGGAGAGGGGTGTAGAATCCACCAAACTATTGCCGGGTAGATCTCGCTCGACTTCTTGAAGGGCTTTTTCCAGGATAGCTTCCATGATGAACATCTGATGATTTGAGCTGCTCTTAGTCTCTTTTGATAGTGTTTCATTCGCATGCGGTACATGGTGGTAAAAGAAACGGCCGAGCGAACCATGAAGTCGGTGCGCCAAGGTAAAAATACTTCATCGCCACTTCACCGCCTTGACGGTAAAAACTGCGTCGGCAACGTTTATTAGCTTTTCACCGCTCTGTTTGCGACGGTAAAATTGATATCTAAACAAACTATCACTCCGAAAAGTAAGTTGTTTATATGTTTTTGATCAGAGCGTTTGAAAAGATATTTTTTTTTGAGTGAAAAAATGACTTTGCCTCCTTGCTTTGGATTATAAATAGGATTGATTACTTTTGCAATGTTTAAAAGTCTAAAAGTGATTTTTGCTTGCTAGAGTGAATTGATTGCTTGCGTTGCTGTGTAAAGCACTTTTGATTTGAAAATATACTTTTTCAGCATGAATAAGTGTTGTTTTTCAAAATTGCTCTCCTTATTGTGGAATAGGTCTCAAGCGTGACAAGCGGTGATACTTACGAGAATTTTACCCTAATTTTCCTGAGTGAAATTAATCCTGAATTGGTCGTGCCCATGCGTTGTTCGAAAGGAATGACTGTGTATGTTTGTCCCAGATAACTGCTATGGACGATTTGTTGACAAATATGAACCCGTTCTAACATCGCTACTATTTAATGAGTTTCCGAACATAGGTTACTGTTTTTGTTCCGATTAGCACATGATCCCTCACCTGACTATAGCACGAAGAAAAACCCTAACTCACACTATAACACGAACCTTAACCCTAAGTATGCGAATCATGCGCGATTCTTGATCACATCACAGGGTCCAGAGGAGATGTGTTTGTCGTTAGAGCATCAAAACCCGTCGAAAACCTCTGAAAAATGGGTTATTTTGATCGCGTTACAGTTTCGTTACACATTCTATAGACCGCAAACCAAGAGACTGAGGGTCCGCATTCGTGCCTCGGTCGCCCTTCGGGCGACGTGCCGTGCGCCAGCGAGGATATGGCTTGCGGTTATTGATTTTTAAAATGGCGAACGACAAAGTCGATCTGGGTCAGATAATAAAAGAAAAAAACCGTTTACAGTAGATTCATAAGAGGCTGTGGAAAGATCTAGTGGTTGCCCGCCTTCGGGCGACCAACATCACATCACATCACATTAAGATCCCATTGGGCTAATTAATCGTGCTAAGCGACAGGTATAGACATTTTTCAAGGTGAGACTTTGAAAAAGTAATTCATTTATTCACACGAAACTCCTCTGGAACCCGTGATCACATGACACACCTCCACCCGCGATCCCACGCGTGTGCCTCAGGTCCAAACCCTCATTCGGTCCCAAACGCGGACCCAGGACCAAAAAGTAGACCAAAAAGGGCAATCTATCTTTTTTTACACCACGTTTTCCTCCTCAATTTTTCTTATTCCCTCCTCCTCCTCGACAGTTTTATTATTTTCCCTCCTCCTACTCCACCTCCTCATTTTTTACATATTTTTTTCCCTCCACCACCACTACCAAATTTCTATTGTTTCCCTCCTCCACCACCACCACAACCACATTTATGTTGCTTTCACTCCTCCTATTGTTTTCCTACCAGACAGGCCAAAAAGGCCAACCTCGAGCCAAAGTAGCCAAAATCAGGCCTAAAAGGCCAAACTCAGGCCAAAAAAGCCCAACTCAAAGAACCAATATTGTTGGTAGGAAAACAATAGGAGGAGTGAATATAATAGAAATGTGGTGGTGGTGGTGGAGGGAAACAATAGAAATGTGGTGGTGGTGGTGGTGGTGGTGGTGGAGAGAAAACAATGGAAATGTGGTGGTGGTGGTGAAGGGAAAAATATATTTAAAAAATGAGGTGGAGTAGGAGGGGAGAAAATGATAAAATTGTGGAGGAGGAGGAAAATAAAAAAATTAGGAGGGAAAATAATAAAATTGTGAAGGAGTGTATGAAAAAATTGAAGAGGGAAACATAGTGTAAAAAAAGATAGATTGCCCTTTTTGGTCTACTAAATAGATATTTTAAAATCACAGAGTATTTTCTCTTTTTGCAATTATTAAAGGGTCATAAAGTTGATTTCTCGTGTGTTAAGAAACGTGTCTGGTTTTACCGCTATTAGTCGCGTGTTTTAAATAATACGTCAAGGTTCTCCTGTTGGGTTTTTACTGCAGAGCTGAACTAATTTGTATGTAACGGTGGGCTTGTTAACTCGCATAATTAACTGACTAACGGCGCGTGAAATAAGACAATAAACTCACCAAGCGCTGAGACTCCACTTTGTGCATGTTTTATAGTGTTTTGTTTATATATCCGATTTTTATCGCTAAATAGAAGACATAAGCCGTTTCTCGCGATGCTAGGTGATCGCTACCTCTTATTTCTATTTTTTAATACACAGTCCGACAAACCGGGCTAAAGTTACGTAACGGGCAAGTCGTGGTAAAGTCTATTGTTCCTATTGTTTAAGAGAGACGCTCATTAATAAACCTATACCGAATTAGTTTGCTTTTACTGGAACAACCGTAATTTTCTGTACCATTTGTTTGGATTACCAGTGCCAAGATTCCTCTCGAGAGAAAGTGTAAAATTTGCCGGTATTTTGTAAATGGCACAATTCAATCTAATTCCTGTTTCGATGCAAAAAAATTGTCAGTACCATGTGACGGAAAATTTTCACCGAAATTTCCGTATAAATGGTAAGCGCTCGAGATTAAAAGGGCCAACATGGCCGGCGTGGGTCAGCTGAGAACCAGCAATAACCAACAAATCACACTCGAAATATTTCTTAACAAACCGACAAAGACAAGACAAAACTGACATTTTTTCCTCACCTGTTTTGTTCCGGCTTTGTTTTATAGGTGCTTACATCCAGGGCTTACATCCGATTTAACATCTTTCTCTCCCTTAACCAATTTTACATCTTCTGGAACTTTCGCACTACGAAAATATCTCTCACTTGTTTTCTTTAAAAAGAAATCTGATGTTTGGAGGACATCAGCTCCTTTTTTGACCGTTCTTCACATATAGATAACTTTAAGGTGGCCCGAACCTTTTTAAATGTGCGTTGGTTATGATTTTGAATGGCGTTTTTTGGCAGGAATGATTTAACCGATTTCCATGATTTTTGGCATCCTTAATAAAGAATGGTCGAACTTGCTTAACTTTTTTTTAAGCATATGTCGATATCTCAAACGCTTCTATATCTATAAGAAAATAAATAGCATTTTCTTAAAGTTCAACCATTCTTTATTAAGGATGCCAAAAATCGTAGAAATCGGTTAAATCATTCCTGCCGAAAAGCCCGATTCAAAAACATAACCAACGCGCAAATAATTAGGTTCGGGCCACCTTGAAGGTGAATTCGATGGGAATAGTTGATGTTCATTATCATTAGGTTCTTCACATGCGACAAAACTTCGTGTGTTAATATATTTCCTCATGTTGTTTTTTAAGGCTAGTGGTGCAACTGCCATAAGAGCATTATTTACCCTGCTGAACAAGGAAAACAAACCTGTCATATTGCTTGGACCATCCAACACAGCTGCCCTGGAACCCGTTGCAGAGTCGGCAAAACAATGGAAACTGGTTCAGGTTTGGACATCAACTTTATTGTTATCATGTTAATGTTCAACTTGTCTGTGGTGTGGCAAAATGAATAAAACAATCAATCAGTAGATGATTCCCTCTAATGTTCCCATATGATACTTCGAGTATTTTGAGTGCAGTGAGATAAACGAGCAGGATTTTCTTATTCATTTCTCCTTTAATTGAATCATTTCACTATTAAGCTGGAGTACGAGAATGGCTCGTCTTCGGCTCGCCAATGTTAACGCCAATACAGATATCCCCCTTTAGAGTGTTTTCACATGACTTCACGGCGACCATATTGGTGTTCCAAAACAATGAAACGGCGGCCATTTTAGTGTTCCAAAGCAGTCCTCTTCGAGCTGACTTCTTTTCTCATACAAACGCATTCTTTTGTAATTCCAGTAAATTTGCGTAGATGCTGCTCACGTGAGTGAAGAGGCTCTATACATTGTCGTATTCATTAGTTAGGTTATGGACGTATTTTATGTTGTAAGAACGGAGTCATACACTCCGGTCGTTTCTGCAGGTAATCACTCTTGCAAAAGCAAAAAGGCATTAAATTTCAGATTTTCTCCTTCCCGTCTTTCAGGTTTCTTATGCATCAGGTTCGCCAAAATTTGAAAGCAACAGAACCTATCCGAACACGTACCGTGTGGTTCCGTCCTCGGTTTCACTTAGCAAAGCAAAAGTTGCCTTCATAAAGTACTTTGGATGGAAGAGAGTAGCCATACTGCACCAATACGATCCAGAATTTTTTTCTCCTGTACAGTACTATTTTTTATTTTAATGTTTAACATAAATTTCGATTATAAGTATGAACGTTAAGTTTCCACAGTAAGTGCACTACTGCTTTTTAACTGCGTAGCGCGAGAGCAGAATTGGCATTTCAACGGTTTTCTCTTTACACCTGCCTTGCAAACACTATTTCCTGGCGCAGCTGTTCCTTTACGCAATATGCATAGAGCCAAGACAGTACAATTTAGCAGCCAACGATTCTACGATATGACTCGACCAATAGTTCATGAAGGTCGTAAGAACGAGGAATATTTGATGTACAAGACGCAATATGTGCAGTAGAGTGTACCAAGTTCCACTAGGTTTCTATAATGCCATTATCCCGACGAAACAAGTCATCCGGCAATTTCGACGCTTTTTATCGGGTAATCTCGGTACCTATCATACGGTCTACAGAGGGATGATTCTCTTATTTTCAGAGACCCAGTAAATGATACAAATTTTAGTTCCAACAACTGCGCTGAATAGTTGAGGAAAATGGGTTGGATTTGTATAGACTTACATCCAGCTCATACTGGACCTCCGGTCTTTACAAGTTTTTCTTCTGAGAACCCTACCTCGTAAAATCGTCCTGCCCCAAGGGAAAGTTCATTTAATATGACAAGGGGGGATGAAGATATTGAGGGGGGCTTCGAAAATTTTTAGACACCTGAAGGGGGCTCTGAAAAAAATTGTTGCGCTAGGAGGGGGCTCCGAAAATTTGTATACTTCAAAACCATCACATGACATCATCATACAGATCCGATGGTTTTCAACTCAACAATTTAATGACCTGTGCAACTCAGCTATATCACGTGGTTTACAGATATAACAAATGTAGTCTCAGTAATTATTACACTCTTGTTCATCCCAAAAATGCTTTAGAAAATTGTATCACAACTGTATCTCAAGTTTGTCATAGTATAAACCATTGAAGACAATAACGGCAAATATATTTAATACAGTCTAGCGATCTTTTTCAGGGAGCAAAGGAATTGAAGGAGGAGGGGGCTCTGAAATTTTTTCGACTACCAAGGAGGGGCTCTTAAAAATTGAACCGCTAGCGAGGGGCTGCTAAAATTTCAAGCTTCGAGTTTCAATATCTTCATCCCCCCCCCCTTGTCATATTAAATGAACTTTCCCCAAGTTCATTATTATAATCCCGACTTACGTTCTTTTACTTTCCTTCTAAAAATCTAAAACTCTCAAGGCAGATTTAGACTAGACGCGTAACATGCGACACAATAAACCCTCCACATCGACCCATTGATTGACTGTTCATTTTTTTATTGTTTTGTTTGCTTGTTTTTTGCACAGACAGTGGATAAGTTGAAGATCGAACTTGTGAAGAGCAACATTAGCATCATTGCAATTGAAGGTTTTGAAGAGCTCGGCGATGTCAGTTTTCAGATGGAAAAACTCAAGGTTAACTCCTAGTTATCAATTATTCATTTTAGTTATTTTTTGCATTTTCTGGCTCTACCTTGACACTGCCTCTGAGCTTCTTCTCAAATCTGGTGTCTTTGTCTGTTTTTATTAGAAATTGGATGCTAGAATAATTATTGGAGAGTTCAGCTACGTCGGTGCAAGGAACGTTTTCTGTGAAGTAAGTAATGTAACAAAGCAGAGAATGTGCTTTACCCTGATTTCTGGTTTCAGTGTTCAATGCTGACCTGACTTATAACTTGACTCATGACTCGTTGACTCTAGCCTGCGTTGCCGAGACAGACTTGTCACTAGAGGTCTCTATCTGGGTCTCGAATCGGGGAAATAGACTGTCTGCAACGCAGGCTAGTTGACCCACGTGACTATTAAAACAAGATTTCTCACATTAATGCCCACGATTTATTATGTTTTGTCCTTCTCAGGCCTTTTAACGGTATGAAACGAAAAAGTAGAGAGCTATGATGTTTTATCTTTTTTTCTGACAAACAAAAACCTTTGTTTAGCTGTGTTACATATAACTCCAACTCATGAAATTTTTATAATGCAGGCCTTCAAAAGGAAGATGTATGGACCGAATTATGCTTGGATAATATTTGGTGAATTCAGCCCTACAGAAATTTTCACTGATGACCTGAAACTTCAAAAAAGTGCTTTAATTGATTGTTCAAGTGACGAGCTAAAGGAGGCAGCGAATGGTTACATTTCCACCATCAAGCTGGACATCCGTAAGGACAATAACCAAACCATATCCGGCTTGGTAAGTTGACTAGTACGTTGATAGAGGACATTAACTATTGCGCAAACGTTTCCCTTGCTTTGCGGCACTGTAGCCTTGAAGGGTGAATTCTGCAGGTACGAACACCATCATGTTACATAAATGCAGTGTTTCTTTGTTGGCACCGCTTTTCGCTCAAAGGACGGTGAGATGTTATTAAGAAGACTACCTTTTCAAGTTCTAGCTTTCTTTGCATTCAAAAAAACAGAACTTTCCTAATAAAACACCAGTTCTGGAGCGCCATTTTTTTTTCATGTTGTTGTCGTTATCATTGTCACATCAACGTTACCTTTTCATGTTTCTTAAGACGTCTGAAAGATTCTGGTGGCAGATGAGGCAACTGAACAAGAACAACAATCTGAGAAAGGACTCTGCGTACGCCTTCGATTCAGCATGGGTAGTAGCCATGGCACTGGATTCCGCTTTTGCTAAAGGGATGAAATATGAGAAGCTTTTAAACCGAAAATTCAAGCAAGTTGTAGCGATAAGAAGTGGTATTCAAAACGTAAACTTCGCGGGATTAACTGTAAGTATAATCTACGATAACACGGCAGATTTTGAATTAAGCGTTTTATCAATAAGCATTATGCTACACTTTCTTTTAAGACACAGAAACAGAAAAATTGTTTTGGGTGCAGGCAAAAGCTAATTTTAAATAACAATATACCTCAGTTTTTCTTAAAAATTCCAGTACTTTTAAGATAAAATTTAGTTTTTTTGTTGTACAGGGGCCTGTAGGCTTTGATGAAAACAGAGAAAGAGTTGGAACAGTTCTTATTAAGCAAAATAGAGAAGGTAAGGTGCTCTGTAAGGATGATAGTTTCTTTTAGAAAAAGTGCTTGGAAGAAGAATTTCCTCTAAAATCGACAAGATGAGTTATGAAGAAACGCACCATTTTGCAGTTGTCTCCCAAAATAACAAGCACATTAAAAAATACATTAACTTACAGGACGTTGAGAGAAGACCTTGTTATGTGTAATATTTATAATCATAGTCGTTTCAGTTTAAGTTTCAGTTGATTGCCAGCTCGTTATGTGAATAACAGATAAGGTTTTTGTTGTCCTTTTTTAGGAAACGAAACTAGGATTGGTCAACATTTCACCTCCTCCGACGAACTCCATCTATTTGAATCTGAGCGAAATAAGATATGGGAAGGTAATAAACGTTTCCATTGCACTTCAATGTCTTATCAAAATATCTAAATTGCAGTCACTGATGATGATGACGATAATGACGATATGATGACAATAATGATAATGATGACGATGATAACATTGACGTTGGTGATTTAATAGATCTATTCGGCTAACTCAATGTTGTACCCAATTCAAATCTCCCGGGGATAAGATTCTTTGTGTATTTTATTTGCATTGTAATGTGGCATTCACATTTAAATGATATGGAAATTCCTGAAACAAAACGTTTTATTCCCAAAGGGTTTGAATTAGGTACAACATTGAGTTAGCCGAATAGTCTATGAATAATCGATTAACATCTCGGTAGATTCTGTTGGAAATAACCGAAGCTGATATAGCGTACACTCCCTAGAGTGCCTTTTCGTTATTGAAGCGCCGTCCACTTGCCACGTCGTCTGGTGTCCTGTTTAGTTCCTTGAACAATCTGCAACTCTAAGTACATTCTATAATTTGCTCATCTGATTTTCAGTATTCTTTGCTGTCTCTCCAGTTAAATGTACACATGAGTTTAGGGCACAGTCCGTTCAGAGTCAACGATAATATGCATGAGCATATGGGCTCCCCCAAATTTAGGGCTACTTAGATTTTTTGGGCAGCAAGGGAAATTTGGGCCAAGCCAGTTTTTAAAGATTCAAAAACCTACCATGAGAGCAGAGCTTTAATGACCGCCATTTGTGACTTGGAGTTTATCTTCGGACTGTGTGTGCTGAAAGTAATCCTGAGCAACAATAGTAGTCTGTGCAAGGTTGGGACTGTGAGAATTCTGTCAGATGTGCCATTTTCTAGGGAGGGAGAGATTTACTAGATCTTACTAGACTTCGCTTAAGCTCTCTCCAACTAAGTTTATAACATTGTTACTGGCCAAAGACGTTTCTGTTGCGTGCCCATATATAGTACTACTCAAATTTTGTTAGAAACGACCTTTATCTATGGATAATCAGTTGCTGACCTGCAGCTTGAGCTGGGGCTATGAACGCCTGCTACGGTGAGATTTCTCTAATTTCAAGCATTGTTCTAAGCAATTACTTAATGCCAAAGAAAGTAGAGCAAAAGTCTCCATTGTTCCATGTTACAAGAAACGCGGTCGCGTGGTTTTGGTTTTGGACTCTTTTTGATTTCATCTTTTGCATTTCTCCTTCAGACAATCGACCACCGAAGGATCACACCAGCAGAAAAATTGAGCTGATGATGAGTCCTTTACCACTTATCGTCATAATGTGGTTCATGGCAGCGATCGGCATCATCTGCTCGTTGAGCTTTCTATATTTTAACATCAGTAACGGTAAAAACAGGTAGGACTTTAACCTTGCTGTTTCTGACCTTTTCCAATACAAAACATATTCTCAGGCAAAAGCCTTTTTGAATAGTTTCCGATCTCTAATCTCAACTTGCATTAAATATTGGAGCTCTTTGCATATTTACATCTTTTATTTTCATTTTGTCAGGATAATCAAGATGTCGTCGCCTAAACTTAACAATATTGTTATTATGGGATGCATCCTGTGCTACGCCTCCATTGTTTTGTTGGGTTTGGATGCGAGGTTTCTCGATTTGCAAGGTTATGGCATCAACTGCAACGTAAGGAAATTAATTATTAACGAGCATTTTCTTGAGCAAGAGTCTACCCTTTTCTGACGTATGATAGAGCTGAAAGCTTTCCTTCATTTTGGTGAACAATGTACTAAGGCGGCTAACGTAGAATTCCCGATAAGACGGACTAATTTTTTACCTGTGCAACCTGTTTACACAAAACCGTGCCAAATCTGTGCATATTACAGTAGTTTTCAAACAAATTTTTGCCGGTGGCAGCATTGGAATGGCTTTTTTTATCACGGCGCGTAACTAGGCTTCAGGCTTGTCAGTACAACGTTGGGTCGGGGCCGGGGTCTATCTTTTTGTTTAAAAGAGTGCTGTTTTAGGGTTAGGGTTAGGGTTAGGGTTAGGTTATGGTTAGGGTTAGGGTTAGTGTCAACCCTAACCCTAACCATAATCCTAACCCTAAAACAGCATTCTTTGAATATAAGACAAACCCCGGCCCCGGCCCCGGCCCCAGCCTCGAACCCGACCCCGACCTCGTCCCGCGTTTTACTGATACCCGGCTTCTACCGCACAAACTGCACAAAACTTGCACAGTTCAGGTGTTTACACGAGTCCGTGTAACAGTTGAACCGTTCTATCAGGTCAAGCTGCGCACCTTGCCGCAGGTTCCATGTAAACGAAAGGCAGATCCGATTTCACAAGTGTTCGTCCGTTCAAAACTTTGTCCGGGCCCGAGTAAAGGGGGTCAACCTTTAAGATAGCAGTTATATTTCTACTCATTCTATTCCTTCCCGTATTTTTGAAAGAAGAAAATGAGCCAAAAAATGTAAAGTTTTGGATTTATTAATAAAATGAGTTCGATTCTTACCAACAGGCACGAGCTGCAGTGCTGTCTATCGGATTTTCCTTATCCTTCGGTGCAATGTTCAGCAAAACATGGCGAGTTCACAAGATATTCACAGCGGCCAAGACTCTCAAGAAAATGGTACGATGTGGTCCACTCTGTATTGCAGTTCGGTCTAGGTGTTTGCAAATTATATGGCAGTTAAAGGCTTCTCTTGACCTTGACCTCTTCACCTTGAATTGGATGAAAATTCAAGATGGATACTCCACGATTAAAATACGAGCATTCAACTAGTGTAAAGTAACCTCCAAAGAAACCCTAGCTATCGTTGTGTAGACCTTTTGTTTAATTTAGGAAATTTCATAAAAAATATTAGCTTTAGTGTTCTATTCACTGTTTTTCTCTTACAGCAACACACTTTACTTGCGTCCCTCGACAAATTACAATTGGGTAGAATGATATGGTGAGATAAATAATTAAAACCCAGCAATCTGAAATGAAGCATGAACGGTTCTTTAACATTCCAATGCTAAAAGTAATCACCAATGCATAAAATGTAGTTAAAGCTTTTGAGTATGTATACTAACTTCTATGATGTTCTTAATCGAATGAATCTTTAACGGGAATAATTTCGTAAAGCACTCTTTTCTGTTATGTTATAACAGGCTATAAAGGATCTTCATCTCCTTGCAATCGTAGCAGTATTGTTAACAGTGGATGTTATTTTCTTGTCCTGTTGGATTATTATCGACCCATTCCAAGCTGAAGAATTAAAATTCGAAGAACTGGTAGGAACTTTTGAGTCGTTTTAACTTCTCGCGTGAACTATTTATCACGATAAAACCTTGGTGTTTAACAGCTTCAACTGCTTAAAAAAACTCGAAGGTCATATTATCATTATTCACTCTTGCAGGGGTACAATAGGCTTGTGAAGCTCCAGCTTTGAATGCTCCCATTGGGTTGTTTCTTTCTTGTTTCCTAGTTTCTTAGAATGGATAATCTTTCTACTGAGCTACGGCAGGCAAACTCTCTTGAGGCTTTCAGGGCCGCTTGGGGCTGAAAACATTTTTTACTATAATAGTTGTTTATTTATTATTTTTTTTTAATTCCTGATGGATTGACATAGCTTAAGTAAAAGTTTTCATCCACTTATTTCATTCATTCATTCATTCATTCATTCATTCATTCATCTACTCATTCATATAGGCGTACCTTTAACTAACAAATATTTTAAAGCATGATTACTTTCATGCCATTTTTTATCCATAGAGCCGAAAGGAACAAGACACTATCATCATTCCGGCTTTATACCAGTGCACCTGCAAATACAAGACCTATTTTCTGGCAGTCCTGTTTGCCTACAAAGGAATACTTCTGTTATTTGGGCTCTTCCTAGCCTGGGAGACACGCAATGTCACAATTCCTGCCTTAAATGACTCCAAGTACATTGGGATGTCTGTTTATAATGTTGTTGTGTTGTCCATTATCGGTGCTATTGTGGCCATTGCACTGGATGGATCCATGTACTACGAAGCTCCTTATGCCATTTCCTCGCTCTGTCTTATTGTCTGTACTACAGTTACGCTGTTATTGGTATTTGTTCCAAAGGTAAGTCATAACATAATTGTGCCGCTGCTGATGCTTCGTACTGCTATTGCTACTGCCGCTACTGCTGCTACTACTATTACTAACTACTAATACCACCACCAGTACCACTACCACCACCACTGCCACTACTAGTGCCACCACCACAACCACTACCACTACCACCACCACCACCACCATTACCACCGACCTCTACTACCCCTTCTACTACCACCACTACCACCGCCTCTACCACCACCGCCACTACCACCACCTCCACCACCACCACCTTCACCACCACTACCACTGCCACTGCCACCAATACCACCGCCTCCACCACCACCACCACCACCACCACCACTACCTCTACCATGCCGTGACGTCTTACTGTAAGCTCTGTAAAAATAACCAGCAGCGTGAATGAAAATCGTCGTTTTTCATTTTAAAACACCCCCAATACCTTTACCTTTAGATCTACCAATTCCTTATGAAGGAAGAAGGAATCCTCCAAGCCTCCTCTATGCATGCTGCTGCTACCGGCAGACCGCGGGCTCATAGTCACAGCCTGACGTGCGCAAGCCCTGTGCTTAAAGAACGACATACCTCATTTACCTGCAAAAGCACACAAACCGATTTTGATGCCCCAGAAAGTGCAGGTAAAGAAAGTAATGATTGAATAATGGCATGAATACCAAGTGCATGATGTTAAATAACAAGTAAATACATTTGTAGTTAAGACAAATAACGGTTTGGTGGTCGCAATTCCACAGCGTGGTTCTTCGTCTACCACTCCAGATAAAATTGGGCTGAGTCGAAAGCGAAAAACTGGAGAGTAAAGTAAACTGTAGAATACCAGGAGAAAACCTTTCCAGTGCAACCGCGACAACCAACAATACACTCGACCCACCCTCTGAGCTTCAAACCTGTGTCACATTACTGGGGTAGCAGTTGGGATGGTGTGCTGCCATCACTACGCCACCTTTGCTCGTTGCAATATCGATAACGTCGAAAGATAAAAAATATTCCTAATATCCTTCCTTTGAGGATCATTTAGGCAGTCTATAGTTTTTGCTTGAATGATCATACTATTTTTGTATTCCGCAAGACATTTATGAGCAGAGCAGCACGAATAGCATAAACACATCACGCCCGGGAAACGCCTACTTGTTTGTCTCTATTGCCATCACTGGCAACCTTTTCCTACTGTCAAATGAAGCAAGGCAGGAAAATATATGTAGGATAAAGGGTGAAATTGTTGCTGAAGTTGAATAATGTCTTTTTTCTATATTGTGTTGCCTCGCATCATCAGAAACTTGTTTCAAAATTTCAAGCTCTTTTACTATGCTTTTAGGCCCCAGTACTCTCCTCATTCCACTTCTTGAAAACCGGGTAGAATACGATGGACATGCAAGAGTTTAAAAATGTTGTAAGTAATTCTTACGCACACTATTTCGCTCATCTCATCTCCACATAACAGCTTTGGTTTCTAGTCACGCATTTCTAATGAAACCTTCTTGATGGATACTAATGAACCTCTTGGCAGCTGGGGCCTTCTTCTTGTTACTCTTTTTATCTTTTTACTTCAGGGAATATCTGTTGATGGAACATATCTGAGGGGTAACTGACCTGTTCAGGGTCACCCTCCATAATTGCCTTGAAAGATAGGAGTCTCATTTGCTGACGAAATCGCTGCCATTTGGTCTTGTCTATCTTTTTGCCTTAAGAAAAGTGCAATCGTCACATAAGAAATCTCAATAGACCATTTTACAGTTGTTGGCTAAGTATCCTAGCCTATGAGTGAACGTCAGGATGAGGCTGACCTTGTTTTGATACAAAACCCTTTTGTTATAAATTAAATCCGCCTTGCCGATAGCAACGCGTCCCTTAAATTCCCTAAGGGCATTTTGCATTCAAGCGCTATGTTTTAAAAATTCAGTTTGAGCTAGCAGTGGACATGAACAGAAGAATTCAGATTTAGAAACGAAGACCCGGAGATAATTCACGCTAGTATGAGTAGTTTTTTCTAAGAGTTTTTTCATCCTTTGAGCGAATTTCTTATCAAGATATTTGGGTTTTTCCTTTTTCAGCGAATCATTCTGTAAATCACACTATTAATCCTCGAAATGTAGAGGTGAAAGAGGCGAGCCGATTTCGACGCGTGATTGCTAATTAACTTGAACTGTTAGAATACTGAGACACAGAGAATTAAACAATGAATCTTGAAGAACAGCGAAAAGACGACGACACCATTCTATTCTTATAAAAATTAAGCTTAGGACTCACATAGCAAAAGGGGTTTTATCAAAACAAGGACAACTCAAGCCTCGTTTTTACCTGTAACTGTAAATTGGGGTATTATCTAAAATCTTTAAATTCCACTTTTTAATCTCTTTTTCTTTGGGATTTCCAATGGTGAAGAAATTACTTTCTCTTTCCCTCTTTGATGCACGTGAGGCATCTGCCAGTGGAATTCCAAGCACAGATCTCTGTGTTTCGGTTCTCAATCCAATCTATTTCTTTTTTTCCTTCAAACTGAATTACCACTTATTAGGCACCACAAAAGTATTAAACTGGTGGAATAAACTTCCTTGCAGCGGCGGCAAATATATCGGGGAGCTGGTCTAACTTTAGGCAAAAGGTGCTTACACTCTTAGATCTGATAGTGGTGTATAGGTGACCACGCCCTCCTTTAAGACTAACTCCAGGAAACAGATCTAATCAAGTCCAGCTCCAAAGCACGCCATTGCAGATGTTAATTCTTTGGTTAATTTACAATAACTTAGTTGGCTCCAACTCTTTCCTTACCAAACTTGGTCTGAAAGTACAAAATATCCAGCCAATCAAATTGGCATGTATTTTGACATCAAAAGGTCAAAATATGACGTCACAATTGCGCACGTTATTCATACTTAAATTGTAAACTTTAGAATCGTACCATTTTTTTATATCAATTTTAAAAGAGCTATTCAAGGAGAGATGAAACCTGAAAAAAATTTGCAATATCTTATATATAAGCTGAGATACGACATTTCATTTTGGATAAATTTGTACTACAAAGTAAAATAAGTCTTAATTTAAGCGTTTCATTGTCGTGTCACCATTACCATTTAATATAAACATAAGACATCTTTATCTTCGAAAGCTAAAGGAAAAAGAAAATTTTGAAAAACGAAATTCCTAACTGCACAAAAAGCAAGAAAACAGTTTTGCGACGTCATTAAAATGTCAAAATCAAAGGGTTCGTTTTTTAAGGAAAAATATGGTTCCAGGTGCACTGAAATATCTTTATTAAAATCCCGTAACTCGATTTCTACGTGTCGTAGCGAGAAACGGTTTTCAGCGTAGATATAAGGGCGCTTTTCATTTGTCAGAACTTACCGGCCAGACCATTCCCGTCGCACTAATAATCTCACTTTTAATCAAAACCCTCCAGCCAGATCAGTCAAATCCTAAATAGTATGCACGAAGGAGAACATTTTTCAGCAAAAACGCTTGGAAAAAGCCTATTTCATTTTAAACGGACTTGTCCGGCCATGGTCCGTCCGGCCATGGTCCGTCCGGCCAGTTTTGACAAATGGAAAGCGCCCTAAGTTTGACTTTGAAATTAAAAAATTCATTTAACCAATTTTGGTGACGTCAGCCCTTATGACGTCATAATTTGACATTTTGTGTCAACCAAAAAAAAAATTAACTGGTCAACAATCGAACTCTATCTGGCACGACTGGTCAAGAAATGAAAAGAAATGTAAAAGTTACGTAAATTTAGCCTAAATGACCGATTTGAGGGGTGGTTTGGCCCTAGCGTAATTAATGTTACGATATCAAGTTACATTGTAGTTTTTTTCATCAAATTCGATAGCTTTTTAGTTATATTAATTGAAATTATTTCGTGACTAGCCAGCGGTCACCAATGATGTTACATAATATTGCCCAAATATAAAATGGCGAATCGTTTCCAGGCAGGAGTGAACTCAACAAAGTGACCAAAGTGTTCATTGCTATCCGTAGACAAAAAAGTCGAAATTCTGACTAAATCTGAAGGGAAGAAATCAAAAAGTACACAAAAACACATTGGTCGATGAATGTCATCTACTTTTTTGAGTAGTATCTGCGACAAAAAACATCTGTTTATGTACTGAAGCCGTACGACGAACAGGCAAATGTTTTGAAGAAAGTATAGACGGAGATAGGGTTGGTAAGAACTTAAAAATATTTTGAATGAATAACACAAGAATTACCGTGAAATTCCGAAAATAAGCCTAGGGGCTTATATTTTTCAAAGACCCTTTTTGAGGGACTTATATTTGGAGGGGCTTATCTACAGAGGGAAATTTGCGTTTCAAAATCGATTGGGCTAGCCTTATAGTTGGCAGTAAATTTACTTTGTAGTTGAGGGCAATTCTCCAAGTACAAGCCCCCGGGGGCGGGGGGAGGGTTATATTTGGAGGGCGATTGAACGGAGGTTTTTTTGCGTTACCGGTTCGTGGGGCTTATACTTGGAGGGGCTTATACATGGAGGGGCTTATTTTCGGAATTTTACGGTATTGAACTTGGCTTTCGTATGATATGAGAAATTATGCAGATCTCGGCCTCGGTGGATAATTAATAACACCCTCCTCGATCTACATAATTCCTCGTATACAGTCAACTCCCTCTAAGACGGCTTCTTTGGGACCAGCACTAAGTGTCCGTCTTAGAGATATGTCCGTCTTATAGAGAGTCAAATAAAGGGAGTAAAGAAAGGCAGGGACCAACCCTAGGCGTCCGTTGTAGGGAGGCGTCCGTCTTATAGAGGTGTCCGTTAAGAGAGAGTCGACTGTAATACTAAACCTAATTCAATGATTGTTTGTTGTAAGATATTCAATTGAATTATATTATCTGTATACCGATATTTGTAAACTGCATGATATCTGATTCTATTACTGCGCTACTTTCGTTGATATCTACAGTAAATTGCAATGCATGCATAATCATTCAATAGAAGCAATTAGTTATTGATTAAAAGGTTATTAGAGACGCAATCTTTCCGCATGAAATGAGTTAGAACTCATGTTTATCCCCCACCCAATGCAATCTTCAAAAGCAGACGGTCTGTCATTTCACTAGCTACAAGATATCTCAAGCAAAAGTGTGTGTGTAACAAACTGATTTTACTTTTTAGTGAACGAAGTAATGTTCAAGTGCCGACGCTTCGGCGCAGATGACATACCGTATGAAATACGCATGGACGACATCCATTTAGACGAAACAATGATGGTAGAATTTAGCCCCCGTTCCTGTGAGACTGTTCAAAAATAGCTACCACACTGGAGATCCAAGCGGCTTTAAATGAGATAGTATAAAACGTCTACTATTCGTAGTTCAACTTCTACACATTTCTCACAGCTTGTATTCCGTTATACTGAAACATAAGGAAATAAATAGCCCATATCTCAACATGTGTTGGTCCTGGCATACGCCCTAGTTCTTTCCTAAAGGTCAACTTTGCAGTTTGATATGCCCAAGAAATTGCAGAGTACAATTCCGCCTAGGGCATTTCGGAGCTTGAAAACCCTCGCTTTAAAAGTACAAACCTCTCATATGAAAATTAGTTACATTTGCACGACTAAAATTATTTCATATCCAGAGACCACGTACTTACTCCCGTTTTCAAAAAAAGGCTTAGCGCAGCCTGGC